TCTCCAAGAGGAGCCCCAGAGAGAGCCCATTATGGATAGTGTAGAAGAAACCAGAGACTTTGAACCAGACCAATGACTCACAGGAACAAACACTTGCAAGTAAAGATGAATGGGCTTAAGGGTAAACTCACTGAATGGACCACACTACAGCTTCCATGATGAGATTCTTTTCTCTCTGTCTCTGTCTCCCTCTCTGTTTTTTTCTTTTGAATTTTGTTTTGTTTTAGGAGGAGGTTGCATGGACAGAGGGTAGATGAGAGGGGTCAGGGAGGTAAGAGGGATTGGGATGCACAACTCAAAATCCACAAAGAATCAATGAAAGTTAAATAAAATAAAAGTAAATAAGAAAAAAAGTGGAATCTGTTGTTGGTTGTTTTTTCTCTTTTACTCTTTTTGGGGGCCCACTACCCAGCTCCCAAATAAAGCACACACGGAGGCTTATTCTTAATTATAAATGTTCAGCCTTAGCTTGGCTTGTTTCTTACCAGCTTTTCTTAACTTAAATTATCCCATCTACCTTTTGCCTCTGGGCTTTTTCCTTTTCTTTCTTCTGTAATCTTACTTTCATGCCTACTCTGTGACTGGCTGGGTGGCTGGGTGGCTGGGTGGCTGGGTGGTTGGGCCCTGATATCCTCCTCTCCTTGTTTGCTTGCTTGTTTTCCTCTTCTCCCAGATTTCTCTTTTTATTTATTCTTTCCACCTGCCAGCCCTGCCTATCCTTTCTCCTGCCTCGCTATTGGCCATTCAGCTCTTTATTAGACCACAGGTGTCTCAGAAAGTCAAAGTAACTCAGCTTCACAGAGTTAAACAAATGCAATATAAACAAAAGTAACACACCTTAAAATAATATTCTACAACATTCCCCCTTTTTGTCTAAATATAAAGAAAGGTTTTAACTTTAACATAGTAAAAATAAAAAACAGTTATCAAATAAGAATTACATTTACAATATTTTGTCCATTTGTAGTTAGCATATTCAGAGAAAATAATGAATTATCTATTCTATCTTAGTGAATCCAAAGTTTTACACCTAATTTACTTTCTATCATAACCAAGGAAAACTGTAACTCTAATTATCTAGTCTTCAACTCGATCAAAGACCTCAGAAGGAATTAATATTATCTAACAACAGAGACATCTGCCTGGATAGTCACCCAAAGTTCCTCTGCAACATTGGGGCATCCATATTCAGCCTACAGGCCCAGAATATCTGGAAAACTTTTTGGTGAAGCAGAAAATTTGAAGGACTGTTTTGCTTTTGTTGAGGCTCATTAAAGGAAAGCTATTTCCTTTTGGTTAAAAAAAAATCCACTACATCTATGAAATATTGGAGCATTTCGAGGGGACACATCTACAGATCCAAAGCAGCAGGATCTCCAAGAGGAGCCCCAGAGAGAGCCCATTATGGATAGTGTAGAAGAAACCAGAGACTTTGAACCAGACCAATGACTCACAGGAACAAACACTTTGCCTTTTATTGGCAAAGTTCATCAGTTGCTTTCCTCTGTGTCCTGCAGAATATCTGGCAGACTTTCTGTGAAACAGGAATTTTGAAGGACTGTCCTGCCTTGTTTTGGCAAAGTTTAACAGTTTTTTTCCTGTGGGTCCTGCATGTCCAGTCTGCACAGCACATTGTCAGCAATCAAAGGCAAGAGCAGTTTCTTTGCCCAGTGGCTAACCTTGCCAAGACAAAAGCATGCTTCATAAGGAGTTTCTTCAGTGCCCATCATCTTTGAAGTAATTGTGCTGCCAGGAGCAGATGTGTCTCATTGTCATGAAAAATTTTAGGTTAACAGAACATTTTAAATGCTATATTCTGTAAGTCTTTGAAGTGTTTGAAAACCATTCTCTAAAATATATCTCTATATGATCTTGAAAATGTACCTAACATATCTATAAATAACTAGCTACCAACCTGTTTCTTGATTATCTTAAATAGTTTATAATAATAGCTTTCAGAAACTAGAATTTCACCTTACATTTTTAAATGATTTTAAAATAGGTACAATACCTTAAACAAGAGTAGAAACATATATACAAAATGTTGTAACAAAAATAACCTTAAATCTGAATCAATATACAAAAATCATTTAAACAAGAGTAGAAACATATATACAGTATAACAAAAATAACTTTAAATTTGTATCAGTATTCTATATTCTCCTAAAAGAAAACAAATAACCATAACCCACCAATTAACCAAAAGTCTCCTATACCCCTTTTGGGAATGTGGACATTGTGTTCTCAAAACTTCTTCCTGCTGTCTGTGGATAAAGTATCTTAGGGTCCCTGTCAAGTCCTGAGAAGACCAGCTATAATCTTTGTTGAAAGATATCACCTGTCAATATTCAGGAGGTCTCCCTTGATAAAACCTGATCAATATCGTTCCTGAAGGAATCCACAGCCTCTCATCTCCTGTGGAAACAAAACTCAAAAGCATTTTTGGTTTCCATTTGACAAATATATTTTTGACTTCCTTTTAAAAGTTAAGGCATTCCTAGGCCGGGCGGTGGTAGCACACGCCTTTAATCCCAGCACTCGGGAGGCAGAGCCAGGCAGAGCTCTGTGAGTTCAAGGCCAGCCTGGGCTACCAAGTGAGCTCCAGGAAAGGCGCGAAGCTACGCAGAGAAACCCTGTCTCGAAAAACACAAAAAAACAAAAAAAAACAAAAAAAAAAGTTAAGGCATTCCTAAAGTATCTAGATTGATTCACTTTAGCACTCCATTTCATGCTCTCGTGTCTCTTAGATGTTATTGTTTGCTTATTAACAATCAAAAAGTTCAAAATTAACACACTATACAGGATCCAGACTCCCTGTGTATTTTCCATCTCACGTGGCTTTTTTCTTTTGTACTACTTTTACTGTCTTTTTAAAGGCTTTATTTTTTGAAACCATTTCTTTTTTATGTGATCATCTATTCCCATTTTTTTCCCTTTCTTAAGCCTATGCACATTGTAAAACACACTGGAACCTGTTTAGAGTTTTTTCTGCCTGGACCTCTTTGACTGCATACCTTTTAGCATTTTTTCACCGTGCGAGCAAACTTGAAACTGCCAACTACACCTGGATAGGTCTTCCACATGTGCACGGCTCTCAGCTGGCTCTGCCCACTTCTGGACTAGGAAAAGTGAAGTCTAAAGCTTGTGGCCCCTGGTTGGAGGTGAAGGACCAGGAACTGCATTCAACCTTCCTAGCTGCAGGAAGCCACAAGCATTTTTGACTTAGCTTACTGTTTCTATTTAGCCATTGCCTGCCAGCTGAACAGCACCCCCTCTTCAAGGAGTTGTGCCCCTTTTCCTTATTTCTGTATTTTCTTCTTTCTTTTTTTTCTTGCAGCTTTCTTATGCCCTACAGGGAAATTCAGTCCCATGTTGGTACACCAAAATGTTTTTCAGCTTTCTATGGCCCCGTGTTATGCACCAAAATGTTGTTTGGTTGGTTGTTTTCTTTTACTCTTTGGGGGGGTCAGCCACCCAGATCCCAAATAAATCACACATGGAGGCTTATTCTTAGTTATAAAAGTCTAGCCTTAGCTTGGCTTATTTCTAGCCAACTTGAATTATCCCATCTACATTTTGCCTCTGGGCTTTTTCCTTTTCTTCTGTATATCTTACTTTTCCTCCTACTCTGTGACTGGCTCTATGGCTGGGTGGCTGGCCCCTGGCATCCTCCTATCCTTATTCTCTTTCTTTTTTTCCTTTCCTCCCAGATTTCCCCTTCTACTAATTCTTTCTGCCTGGCAGCCCCACCTATCCTTTCTCCTGCCTTGCTATTGGCTGTTCAGTTCTCTATTATACCATCAGGTGTTTTAGACAGGCACAGTAACACAGCTTCACAGAGTTAAACAAATGAAATATAAACAAAAGTAATATACCTTAAATTAATATTCTACAATAGGGTCTATCTCTAGCCTTGCCTGGAGCCTAATATTCCAAGCTGCCTCAA